CTCGACTGGAGTTATATTTATTCATCTTTTCTGACATCATCTGTACTAGTTACATTCATTTCACTGTAAAACCAGATTAGTTTATCAAACTAAAAATGTTTTAACTGATTACACTTTAAGTAAACTAACTTTAAAGCAAAAAAAACCCCATAATTGATCAAGTAGCTTTTGTAATTTTAAGTGGCACTGACTTAATTTTATACTGTGAAAACAAAATAACTAGTAAAATGTACTTAATCAGGAATTCTGTAACTTAAAAAAGTAAGTTGGTGTATCTTAAAATTAACAGTAAAAGCTGCATAATCACCTTTTTTAACGGACAAATCAAGTTTTTTGCCAACTTGATACATAACAAAAGACACTTCTTAGCAAATCTCTATAAACAGATATCTGCACATTAATCAAGATACATAAAAACAGAGACGGTTTACCTGCAGGAAACCAGTTAGTAATGCAGAAATAGTCTTTTGTAACTTTGTCTTGTGATGTCTCAGCTGACAGGAGTCAATAAACAGTAGTAATGCTGCTCTACAATATAATACAAGCTAATTTTTCTTGTTAGTTTTAGTGATGTGAAAGCTGCTGTGGTCTTGTTAACTTCACCTTTAAATGGTAATGGTAAATGGACCTGTACTTGTATAGCGCCTTCCTAGTCTTCCGACCACTCAAAGCGCTTTTACACTATGTGCCACATTCACCCTTTCACACACATTCACTCAGTGATGGCAAAGTCCATCGAACAGAAACTAACATTCATACACATTCACACACAATTTGGGGTTCAGTATCTTGCTCAAGGATACTTTGACATGTGGCACCAGGGGCTGGGGATCAAACCCACAACCTTCCGATTTAGGAACGACCCACTCTGCCTCTGAGCCACAGCCGCCCAAACCGTAACGTTGTATATTTTTTAATTGTCTTATAAGTGATATTTTCAAGTTTCAAGTAGTGAAATAAAAAAAGATATAAAATCTTATTCTTTATATTTGATAAGTCTAAGGTTAATGCATTGTAGTGAAGGGTGTGGTGCTACAATGTGCATTTTGAACTCAGTATTATTTGCATGTGATGATGAAGATGATGTAAATGCGTGGCCTTCATTTACATTCGCTCATTTATGGTGCTCACGTGTCGCTCCGAGAAAACCCACACTGCCGCTGCTCAACTCCTCGGCTGACTTTCAAAAAGTGAGGACATTTTGTACAGTGAGGAAGATGAGGGGAAGAAAGCCAAAAGATGAAGTGAAGAAAGAAACAGAAGGCAGGAAAGAAAAGAGCACATGAAGATAAAACAGAGATCACATTGTTCAGTCCCTCCAGGAAGCTGCGATCAATTTGGTCCAATCAACACAACTTTTCCACAGTTGGACAAATCATTGTAGTTTCCTACTTAAAATGCCATTCGTCACCAAAAAGCCTACAAACATTGCAACATGGGTCACAGTTTTTTAAGAAAAGCTGTGAAATCAATCATGAAAATGCTAATCTTGACATGCGTAGTAACAGTAACTGTGTGTGGCGTTGTTTAACGAAGGGTCAGCTGATCACTCAACAAACGCACTAATTAATACCAGATAAGTGTTGTTTTGTTAAAGGACCCTTCACGTATAGAACGGCTCTTTGTGTCCTGATGAGATTTTCATGGTCTTCATTTCCATATGAGGTGTTTACTAACTGAGGCTCAGTGAAAAATATGATGGTCAATTAAGTCAATGACCCTCACGCGCCACACACACACACACACACACACACACACACACACACACACACACACACGTGTTAGTTCTGTCTCTGTGAGGACATTTATTATTATTAATAAGTGGAGACATTGTTGGAAAGTAAGGGCAGCTGAGTGTTTATCCTCAGCTCCTCGGTCCGGCTCTGCTAACGAGCTCGTTAGCGTCTCTCGGAACACGGCAAAATAAAAGTGGTGGAACATCTGGAGCATCTTTTCTGGAAACTGATTAAAATGACCAAATATCTTGGAAATAATCTACGTTGTCCTGGATATTTTTGTGTTTTAGCCCCTCACTCAGAAACCTGAGTGCTTTTTTGTTTGAAACTCGACTGTCGGTTGGATGAACTGTACGATTCTTTTGGGTTTAATCAGATCACATTCATATTTTCCAGAAATTCTCCATACATACAGCCTACTGATGATCAAATTTCTTGTTGCTGTGGTTGATAAATACATGCACAGTGTTACTTGTTACTTTCTAGAAGATACATTTTCTGTAAAATAAAATAAATTCTACTTGATTTGAACTTTTACTGATACAGTAAAAGTATTCAAGAAAAACTCCTGGAAAATGATTTGTTAAAACTCTGAGCGGAGAGCAGATCACATTGGCAGGAAGTCATGCACAGAAATGGCATAAAGAATCTGGTCAATTTTCAAAATAAAATACCCATTGCAGACTTAACTCAACAAAAAAAAAAAGAAGAAAGAAATAACAAAAATAAACACGTTTAAAACCATTAAATTAAGTTGCCAGGTCATAAGGCATCGACCGGGTGGAGGTTCCTCGTTACCCTTTCCGCTCTAACATGCAATAAAAACTAAACAGACTTTGTCGGCATTCACTGTCTAGTTAAATGTTGTGTTAGTTAAATGTTGTGTTGGTTAAATGTTGTGTTAGTTATCTCCGACTCTGAGACGTCAGATGAGGGAAGCAAATGAATGCCAGCAACATGTTCAATGCCAGAAAGCAGCCACATTAGCCGGGGCGATGTTCGTCCTTCCTCACTGTTTGTTCACGTCTCTGACGCGTTATTTGAACAGAGCTCATAAAAGCGGCACGTTTGGCAGACCTCCTTAAATACTCAGAGGTTGGAACTTGCCACAACCACCTGCAGACTCCTGATTTGTTTACAGGCGGTTTTGGTTTCTAATTGACCTGCGTGACCCCGACTGAACCAGAATGCAAATATATGATTTGAGTGATTGCGACCATTCAGAAAGCACCACTCCAGTCAAAACAAGTACTTTTTCTAGTGAGTGGAAGCAGGGGCGTTTCCAGACTTCTTTGACTGGAGGGGCCCTGACTTATGCACGGGGGCAGGAAATTTGTGTCTCAGCTTTCCAGTTATTCTTAATTTCAGTAAATTTCATCATTATTCAAACACTGAAATAACACATTTAATACCACAGGCAAAACACTGCACGGGATTACCATAAAGTGTCTGTAAAGAGGACTCGTTGGTTCCCATAGAGCCCATTTTCATTCAGATATCTTGAGGTCAGAGGTCAACACACACACACACACACACACACACACACACACACACACACACACACCTGTGAAATCTCTCTTTTCATGCAGTGAGACAGTCTGCAGTCAGCAGGATTACGGCTCCATTCATACACACAATAACTGCATTCAGTCTGTCAGCCTGTCTGTCTGTCTGTCACTGTTGAGCCCCTCTTACCATCAACCTAAACAGTGACGGTAAGAGAGATTTACTTTAATGACCACACACACACACACACACAGTGGTATCTATTTGTGCTTACGGTTACTATGTGTTACTTTAGAGGTTGAATGTGTCTTTGTGTGACTTTCAGCAGACAGGAAATGGAAACATTTCCAGGTGTAATTAAATGTTTAAGGTTGGACGCAAGGGATGAGACTTTATTATCGGGATAAAAACACAAAATTTATCGTGGTGAATTTCCGTTATGGTGAAAATATCCTCACATGTCTTGACTTGATTAAACTGTCTGTCTTGGTTTCCTGATTTATTTTGAACAAGGGGACAAAGGGTATCGTTCTACTCGTTCCAAAAACTTTGTTAGCTCGTGCAGCTAACGCTAGCTGACTGATAACCCGGCAAAAAGTGTAATTCCCTGTCGTCAAACTGTCCTCCGTCAGCATCAGACGCTGCATTCAGTCCCGGTCTGGCCCTGCTGTTCACTGGGAGCTCCCAGTCCGACAGAGTCCGCTAATGGGTCCACAACAGCTGCTGGACTGGGGGGACGTAGCACACAGCGCTGTTAGCCGCCGCGACAGGTTCCTCGTTAGCTGCCATTTTTTTACAGGAAATATGAGGAAGTAAACAGTTGTCTGCTTCCTGTTTCATGTGGACTGAGGGGCTAAAACGCTGACTCATTTCAGGTTTTTCGGCTCATTCCTGCCGCGCTCTGTGAATGTGAGAGCTGACGGGTGGAGCGCTCTGATTGGCTGAGGGCGGAGCTGCTGTTCACAGTTTACAGTATGTCTCAGCAGTTCCACTCTGAACTTCATACTTATCAGCTGCAGCAGCATCTAAGTGAGAACCAGCGTCTAAAAATAGAGTCACCGCAGTGCAAGTTGCTTCCTGTCCTCCCTCGAAGAGGACCAGACCGCTGTTCACACCCTACCCATCCTCCTCCAGTCTCACCAGCACTCTGTAGACCAGTTTCCATCCACACAGCCAGCGGTCCCACTTCAGTTTCATGAGCACAAACTCCTTGTTTTTACGTTCCTTTTTTCGTTTTCTGCATTTTGCATGGATTATTTCCATGATTTAATGGGTTTCAAGGGGAAAAAACAATTAAAATGTACCAAATAGTTTGAGAGCATCTCTGAAATTTCACCTGAATTCAAGAATTCAGGCCCTTGGATGGCTGTTGTGTTTGTTTTAAGGGTTTTTAAACTGTGCAAATAATGCTTAACCATACCGTAATATATTACAATCCACTCATTTATCCATTCATTATCATATATTAATGCCTTCTTCATGTTATTTTGTCAGTTTTCGTTTTGAGTTTTTTACCTGTAAAGGAGTTCAGTGATAGATAAACTAAGGGACGAAGGTTTTGATGGATTATTTCCATAATTTAATGAGTTTTAAAGGAAAAAACGTATTTTTAAACTGAGCAACTGGTGCATAAAAGTACTCTCCCTCCTCTTCCTCCCTTCTTTTTTTACTCTTCATTTATCTTCCTCTCCTCCAGTTTCTCTTGCTGCTGTGTCTCCAACAGACTGACACTGTTTCTTCTTTGGTTTTTGTCCCTAGGTTGGTAGATGACCGCTGTGTGGTCGAACCAGCTGCTGGAGATCTGGAGAATCCTCCAAAGAAGTTCAGAGGTACGAGTGTGTAAGAGTGTGTGTGTGTGTGTGTGTGTGTGTGTGTGTGTGTGTGTGTGTGTGTGTGTGTGTGTGGCTCCACTGTCAATTTAGCAACAATAAAAGTCGTTAGACTTTCAAAATAAAGAGAAACTCATCAGACCCGAATATAACTGGAAGCTGTAATAAGTATGAAACAGGGATAATCACACACAGGTATCTCCATAATTTGAATCAATAATGCGCTCTACGGTGAAAACATTACACCATTACAACATTACAACAATTCCTAACGTTTACACAAAAACACGAGATAAAGTGCGTTGTATGTTCACAATCTTCTCGTCAATTCGGCATCAATAAAAACTAGTAAAGATGAGTTTTACTCTGTACAAACTTTACATTTTGTCTCCTCTACTTGCTCAGTCTCAGTTTTGGCTGCACTGAGAGTCAGAAGACTGTGGGAATGAGAGGTGGTTGGTGGATCAGATACACGCTCAATTAAACACCGACTCATAGAACCGTTAATTCACCGTCTTCCTGATAAATTAATTTATCCATTAATAATAACATTTTTATGACCCCTGCTGTGCCGCGCTGACCTCCTCACTGTGTGTTCTCCTGCTGCTGTTAACTCCCCGAGTCCCTTGAATACCTGTGGGATCAGCAGTCCTGGGTCCTGGGTCCGGTCTGTGTTATAAGGAACCGAATGAAAACCTCCAACATGCTGTATGAAATATAAATGATGTGTGTGTGTGATCTGAGTCCAGCTCCTGTCATCAGAGACACACACACACTAATATATATAGAAAACAGCCTGTTGCACCATCTGCTCCGAGCTGGCTCCGTTTTAGGACAGCGAGCTGTTGAACCAGTTTACAACTAGATCACAGTGAGTGAGTGAGTGACAGCTCAAACTTTAATTAATTGATAATTAATTATTAATGTTTGTTGGACAGTAAGACATAGATGACTGGGTCTAAACCTTTTTTTTTAGAAACATCAGGAAACAAAAACACAAGTTTCTTTTTGCACAATTTAACATCATAAGTAAAATAAATCGAAAAAAATATTTTTATTTGGTTGCTGCCCATCATGTTTCTTTAATCACTGGACTAAAAAAATAATCTTGACATGAAATTAATCCCACATTTAAATCTAAATGTTACGAGGCAGAAACCAGCCTGTGTGTGAGAGAGAGTTAAAAGCTCATTTCCTTAAGTAAAGATGACTTTAAACCAGAAAATCCATTTAGATCTTTACAATACAATTTCACAGGAAAATTCTGTTTGCCGTCCACACACACACACACACACACACACACACACACACACACACACACACAAACACAGTAACAGTGTTAATGTCTTTTAACACACAGGATCTGCTGGAGAGAGTCAATATTTACACCCTCCTTTGTGTTTTCTCTTCCATCCATTCACTCCAGTCCTGTTCCATCCTGTTCTCAGATAAATTTAATCTCATTCTGGACACTGTGGAGTTTTTATGAGGTCTCACCGTGTCCAGGTTGGCTCGAGCGATTAGCTCCAGATTAGCGGAGCAGAACCTGAAGCTAATTGGTTGTTTTGGTTTCAGAACGTCAAACTGGTGAAGCATCTGACATTAGGTCTATCTCTGACTGTCTGTGTTTCTAACCTTTGACCAAATATGGTCTTTCTGTCTATGAGCTCATAAACCAGCCGTGAACGTCACTGAGACACAATATTAACAATATTAACCCCAATAGCTCTAGTTACACAGTAAATGCACTGCACCTTTACAGCACCACTCAAAGGTCTTTACATGCCACATTCACCCATTCACAGTATCTGTTCAGTGTCTTGCTCAAGATAGGAGGAGCCAGGGATCGAACTGCCAACCTTCGGATAAACAGTACTCAAAAGTAACAGATTTGAGGAGAGAAATAGTCAACGCAGTAACAGAATCTGGATCCATATCTGACCAGCACTGCCTAGTTTGACAGTTTGACTGAAACTCATAAATAAGTCGCGATAAGTCGCGTCATTCCTCTATCAGACTGCATGGTATTGGCCTTTATTGCAGCCAGTGGAGCTCCCCCTGCCGGCCGTTATATAGAATGCAGGTTTAAGACACTTCACCGACCAGACCGGTTGGCTCTGTCCATTATATTTACTGTCAATGGTAAAAACTTAGCCTAGTTATAAAGTAACTAAATAGTTACACATCCCCTAAGGTAGTGTAAATGTCACAGGATTAAACTCGCTGAGGGTAAAACAGAAGTTTTTCTGCCACAAAACCTAATTCTTTTATTAATTGCAGCCATTTTGCACCACAGTAATTCAGTACAGACCTAATTTAATATTATATTGATCACGCTGACTACGATGTGCTACGAAGCCAAGTGGCTCATAGCCAGAAAGCTAATGCTCACGGTAACCATGATGTTAATTGGCTACTTGCCTTAGTTATGACTTTAAACTAGTTAAATTATTGTGGTGCAACTGATTTAGTTACAAACAAGAGGCAGCAGTTATTGAGGCTCTAGTGTCGACTTTACACCCTCACTAAAGAGAGAACTAACACAGCAGTTGCATCACAGTCCTGATGAGACACCTTGCATGGCAGCATAAGTGTGTATGTGATGCAAAGTGCTCTGAGGGATCAGTAGATTAGAAAAGTGCTTTTTCCATTGGTTTGAAAACTCAGCTTGTCAGGTTCAGCACACCATTCTAGAGAGGGATGCTGATCGTGGCCTTTCGTCAGCAGTGGTGTAGTGCAGAGTGTACAAGTATTCATAGTTTACATGTGACGTCACACCCTCATTGGAGGCAAAACAAGGCTTTCTTCTGCTGCCCGCAACCTAACTTAACGGTAGAGATACAGTCGACACAGTAAATGTCGGAGTTGTTGTGTGATTGGCTGCACTAACGATGAGGAGACGGGACTTGTCAGTTGTGCTTCTGCAGAATAAAACCTTCTCTGTGCTCTTTCTGCCTCATCGCTGTCTGGACCGAGTTTCTCTCTCCAGTGTTTGGCTGCACAGAAGCACTGAACTACCTGAATGAACTGTCTGTATTCTGCTGACTGTTTATTTCTGTCGTCTCTACATCTTTAGCGCATATTACATTAATTCAAGATTATTAATTATTGGCTTTTTGTTTGCGGGGCATTTGTTGCCCTTGCAGTGGCGTGTTGAGTGTGGTTGACCGTTGCCTATCAGCAGGCAGTGCTGCTCTCTCACAGAGAGAGCTCAGACCAGTGTGTAGGATTTAGTGCCATCTAGTGATGAAGTTATAGATTGCAACAAACTGAACACTGCTCTTGTCTGTATTTGATGACCTGGGAATGAGAACAAGCTGTTAAGTGTGAAGAAGAAACTATAGTGGCCGTGAAACTCGTGAAAAACACTCATGTTGTCTGTGATGTTTCTAAGAAATGAACACTGAATAGTTTATTACTGTCTCGTTGAATTGAACTGTTTTTAGATGTCTCTGCTTTATTCTGATCTGGTCTGTTGTGCTCTGTGTTCGCTCAGACTGCCTGTTCAAGGTGTGTCCCATGAGTCGGTACTCGGCTCAGAAACAGTTCTGGAAAGCCAAACAAGCCAAACATGAGAAGGACAAGATCGCCGACGTGGTTCTGCTGCAGAAACTACAGGTAACAGACACGCACACATTTCTGCACACGCTTTAAAGAACTGACTTTGTGTTCTGGAATATAGTTGGTTTTTATAGGTGTTTAAATTGTTACTGTTGTTAAGTTTAGGGTGACTTGTCAAAGGAATGAATAATATTATTTCTAATAATCGTAGGTAAGGTATATTGAATAATGTTTAGTGAATATTAAAACAAAAGATATCTATAAATATGAAAAATTCAAATAATAAAGAAATCCTTTAAGTTAAGCATCAGCTTCAAGTGTCAGTTCATCCTGACTGAGGTACAGCTCTACTGATGGAGTTAGCTGTTTGCATGCTAAGCTAAGAACTTGGATCTATTTCTGTACTGAACACACCGAACTGAAACTGATATCCAGCTGAAACATCTGGAAAAGACAGAACAAGAGGGTTTCACTGTTAGTACCACTGCAAATGATCTGACTGCACATGTGGTGTTCATGGTTATTATTTAATTGTATTGTAGTGTATAAAGACAGAGTTCGCAACCAGATGTTACATCATGTTACTACTAGATAGAGTGAACTGTGTGTGTGTGTGTGTGTGTGTGTGTGTGTGTGTGTGTGTGTGTGTTTGTTGCAGCATGCATCCAACCTGGAGCAGAAGCAGAACGAGACAGAAAACAAGAAAGTCCACGGAGACGTTGTAAAATACGGAACTGTCATGCAGGTAAAGATTGTTCAGCTTTTTCCACAGAAGTACAAACATACATATATATTATTAATAATAAGATTAAACATTATCTGGGGATCTGTTGGCACATGCCAATATAAAATAAAGTTCAGGCCTGAGGTCCTCACTGGTCAGAGCCTCTGATTGTAGTGACTGTTAACATTTTTTCAAGTCAATCAAACAACCACAAAAAGAAACAAAATGACTACAAAGTGACATAGAATGATCATAATAACACACAAAATAACTATAAAGAGACATATAAACCACTACCGAAAACACAATAAAAATATACATAATGAGTATAAAGAATGACATAAATATGACTACAATAGATGTGAAACACTACACGACAAAAAAAAGCAAAACAACCAAAATAGACACAAAAAGTTACAGAGTGTACAAACAACCACAAAAGATGAATTTATATTATTATATTACTGCACCATTATTATTGATGTATTAATGTAACGGACTTTATATTTTCTGGTGGTGGAGCTCATTTTAATGCTTTTATTTGAATTAATCTAAAACACAGCATCTTACCTGTTCAATAAATAAAAAAGTACTTTACCTGGAAGTATTACTGCACATGACTGAACACATCACCTGGCTGTTGACCGGTCGACGCCTGCTGCCATGGCAACCAGGTGACTCACACCCCTCCCCTCCCCTCTTTACTGTGGCAACATGTGTCCTGATACATGTGATTATTACTGTTAACCTGTCTCACACACACAAACACACACACACACACCCTGTCTCACTGGTGCATATCCACATATCTGTTAGTGTCAATATTGACCTCATTGCAGAGCTGTCATCACACACACACACACACACACACACACACACACACACACACACACACACACACACACACACACTCACACTCTTAAAGTCTGGGTGTGGCTGCTGAGTGAAACTGTGTCAGATTGTTAAGATAAAGATTCCTGTACGAGAAAAGGTGTGTGTGTGTGTGTGTGTGTGTGTGTGTGTGTGTGTGTGTGTGTGTGTGTGTGTGTTTGTGTGTGTGTTGAAGGTGTGGAGAGGGTTATATGGAGCTGTAGAACTCCATTATTACAGTACGAGTGATAACTGAGCTGCACCTTTCACATGTTTAAACACACATTCTGCAGGACGATAAAGCGGCCATTATTCTATATGTTCTGTACAGTCTTCAAACCTCTGACGTCCTGTCTGCTCCAAGCCCCCCCAAGCAAAGAGACAGATCAACCACAGAAATACACAAAATACACAAATAAATGTAAAACAACTACATTGAAACACAAAACAACTAACCAGCCAATGCAAAAACAACCAAAACTACTACGAATAGACTCAAAATAACCACAAAGACGTGTCAAACAACCAAAAAGAGATGCATTACGACTACAAAGAGACACAAAACTACTCTGACATTAACTTCAGATAAATGTGTAAGTAAACTTCCTGTGAACAGGAGGAACGATTGCAAGCAAAAACCTTCAACATATCCTTTAAACAGCTGCTAACTAGTTTAATCAGACGGAAATGGAGCATTTGTTTGGGACTATTTTCGCCAGCGGATTCATCTAAATCTGGTGTTTGGGGCAGCAGGACCACAGTCCTTGTTAGTGGATACATTCAATGTTGGTTTGAGTCTTTATGTGAATCTACAGTGAAATAAATGCCCACTCTCCCTGCCTCCAGTTGCTCCATATGAAGAGTAATAAATACCTGACGGTGAACAAGCGTCTGCCGGCTCTGCTGGAGAAGAACGCCATGCGGGTCACTCTGGACGGGACGGGAAACGAAGGCTCGTGGCTCTTCATCCAGCCGTTCTGGAAACTCCGCGCCAACGGAGACAATGTAAATACACTTCATACTACACATCTGCACATCTGCACAGGACATTACTCATGTTCAAGGTCCCCAGAGGATGAATCCTAATCTTTCTGTCCTAACCTTCCCTCCAGCACCACCAGTCAGAACTCAGTGTTTGTTCTTGTTCCTACAGTGTGATGTTTGAATGATGTCAGTGCAGAGTTTGACTCTAGAAGGATGTTTTAACATTCATCTGCTGAAAGTGGAAAGTTTCTCTGAGCTCATTGAAAATCAGATTTTAAAGGGCGGGGCCTACGGGCATGGTTTGTGACATCACAAATAGTTCAGGAAGTCAGTCCTGGTCCAGTATGAAACTTCTACAGTGTGTTCCACCAGTGCACAGACACTGAGAGTGGACTTTACAGTGAAGGAGGAAACATCTTGTGTCCAGCAGTAAAACATTTACATATTTAATAGATTGATTTATAATGAGGTGGAAGGAGTAGATGACTTAAATTATACTTATTAGAGTAGCAGCATGTGTTAGTTCATGACTATAGGGGATCTTTAACCTTTTTAATATCTGCAATGACTTGTCCTCTAATTATAATAATAGTAATAAAATCAGGAATCACAATCGTCACAAATATAAGATTAAAAAACGTTTCCTCTATGTGCTTCTAGAAATGAAAAATTCACAAAAAACCTTCAAAAGTACATTTTAAACAAGTCAGGAAAAGATTTTCAGTGAAAGAAAGTATTGTGCAATTGTGCTGTCAGCAGTAGTTGTAGAGCCTTGATTGAGATTCAATCCACATTCAGTTCAATCAAAAGGAAAAATCCTAGAGAAGCCAGTAAACCCTTTATCTAAGTTTTCATAAATATAAGTCAGACATTAAAAGAGAAGTCATCTCTCAACTGAATAAAAGCCTCCACAATCAGGACAGACAAGACAGACGAAGAATGGTGTATAAGGTATAAAATCTCATGCTTGGGAAGAAAAATATAACCCGTTTTTTTATCACTCCCCTTGGGAAGGCCCACTATGGTAATGTTACCTCAGTGTCGGAGGAACCACTGTCATGTTTTCTGGGAATGCCAGAACATACAGAACCACTAGAAAGAAGTACATAAGGCACCACAGACCATCTTCAACACACACAGACCAAATGGATTTCAAAACCATATATTTAGGTTCTATCCACAGAAGCTAAAGGTGTTGACACATATTTATACTGCTGGCAGCAGGGGATGTAGACAGAATGAGTGTGAATCCAAACTGCTACAAACATTTTAATTTATTTTATACATTTAATAACATCCCAGAGAGATTTTATCCACAGTAGCAGTAGTAGTATTCGTTGTAGCAGTGTGAGTATTTAGTGTGTTTTCTGTTGCAGGTGGTGGTGGGAGATAAAGTGATCCTGAACCCGGTGAATGCCGGTCAGCCGCTTCACGCTTCAAACTACGAACTGACCGACCATCCAGGCTGTAAAGAGGTGAGAACCAGACACACCGAGACTGAGACCAGTCCTGAATTTAGTCCTGATACTGATGAGGATTAGTACTGAACTGCATAAAAACCTCCCTCTCCCTCCCTCTGCAGGTGAACTCGGTGAACTGCAACACCAGCTGGAAGATCAACCTGTTCATGATGTTCAGTGACCACAGAGAGGAAGTCCTCAAAGGAGTGAGTGAGACAGTACTGCAGTATATACAGTGCATTGTAAATGCAGCAATACTGCAGTATAAAAATACTCCATTACAAGTAAAACTCCTGCATTTTCAAGTCTCTCTCTCTCTCTCTCTCTCTCTCTCTCTCTCTCTCTCTCTCTTAGGGTGAAGTGGTGCGTCTGTTTCACGCTGAGCAGGAAAAGTTTCTGACCTGCGACGAGTACAAGAGCAAACTCCACGTCTTCCTCCGAACGACACTGCGACAGTCCGCAACCTCAGCGACCAGCTCCAACGCCCTGTGGGAGGTGGAGGTATGCTGACATTGAGCCTAACACCTTTAAGTGTTTGTGGTCCTCAACCTAACCTGAACCCACCAACCCCAAAAATCACGACTTTTATCCCAATTCTGTCTCCGTCAGGTTGTCCATCATGACCCATGTCGAGGGGGGGCGGGACACTGGAACAGCCTCTACCGATTCAAACACCTGGCCACCGGCAACTACCTGGCTGCTGAGGTAACCACGACAACAGTGGGTTTCCACCACCATGAATGAATGAGTGAATGTGATTTTAAACCGTCAGTAGGATAAACTGTGTGACAATTCAATGTGGATGCAAAGTGACTTATCTGTGGTTGATAAATACATGTACTGTAGAAGAAGTGTTTTTCTGTAAAATAAGATAACTTCTACTTTTGATTTTAGCTGTTACTACAAATGAATGTAGACAGTTTGTTTTAAACCGGAGTTTATCTGACCGTTTGTGAGCTGTCCAGCAATGATTTGTTAAAAAGAGTCTCTGATGAACGTAAACAGCCTCGTCCTGCATTTGAAAAGTTCAAACAAGCAAAGAGCTGATGGAATAAGAAACATATTGTATGATTGAGGGACAGAGAAAATATAACATAAAAATATCAGGAAACTCATCTCTGATCAGTTTTCACAGGAAATAATCTGCTTCACATTCATCCAAATCTGGTTTTACACAAACTTCCTGCAGTTATTGTGTTCACTGTTTGTGTTCATCGTTCAGTTTATCAGCTGTTCTCTGTTGTTATTGTTATTATTGAATGTAATATGAAATATGATATCTGTAAAATATATGACAAATTGGTTCTGAAACTGATTTAAAGTATACTGTACTGTATTTATTTGTATTCTTGAAAAATCTAATAGTTTTCCTGCAGTAGATCATATCTGTTGTTGTTGTTGTTGTTGTTGTTGTTGTTGTTGATGATGATGACTGTTGTTGTTGTTGTTGTTGTAGGAGAACCCAGGCTATAAAGGAGACAATGTAGAGTCGTCGTCCTCGGTGAGTCACTGTTTTAACTTCTTCGCCATTATGACTTCATTAGCACCAGAGTCTAGTCAGCTGACGTTATAAAATATTAGCACAATAAAGAGCCTCACTCTGACCTCTGACCTCTCTGTAGATCGACGGTAGTCGTAGCAACAAGCGCTCCCACGGTGAGAGGATCAAGTACAAGTTGGTGGCAGTGGCTCATGGGAACGACATCGCCTCGCTGTTCGAGCTCGACCCGACCACGCTGCAGAAGACAGACTCCTTCGTACCACGGTAGGAACAGTGCCTTTACTTCCTGCCGAAGTTTCACAATAAAACAGAATGATGGGGTTCTAATAGTTATTTTAATGTTAATGGAGAGTATCTGGATTAAAGCTCCAGTGCGTAGGATTTAGTTGCATCTAGACATATAGTTGTAGATAGCAACTCCCTCGGATGAACTCTACCTTTCTGCAGACTTTTATTGTGAAATGTTTGTGCATTAAGCCTTGAGTTTTGCTGACAGTAGCTTAAAGGTTTGGGCTACACGTGTCACAATACAGGGGTTACGATTCAAATTACTGCGATATATTGCGATACTGTAAGCAAGGCGATATTTATGCAATGCAATTTGTAAAAAACTACGAACAATGGAGCAAGAATGCCACAAAGAAGCCAACCGTACTATCAAACTGACACTGTCAAAGAGAAGCAGAGTGATAAAAATTAAGCAGAACTTAAACAATTCAATTCAATTCAATTCAATTTTATTTGTATAGCGCCAATTCATAACAGAAGTTATCTCAGGACACTTTTCAAATAGAGCAGGTCTAGACCGAACTCTTTAACATTAATTACAGAGACCCAACAGTACCACCATGAGCAAGCACTTGGCGACAAGGGCAAGGAAAAACTGCCTGTTAAAAGGCAGAAACCTAGGACAGATCCTCCGGCTCTAGGTGGGTGGTCGTCTGTCTCGACCAGTTGGGGGAGAGAGAGAGAGAGAGAGAGAGAGAGAGAGAGAGAGAGAGACAGACAGACAGACAGACAGGTGCACAGTAACAACAAGCCGTTTGTCTTCCAGAAACTCGTACGTACGACTGAGACACCTGTGCACCAACACCTGGATCCAGAGCACCAACGTCCCCATCGATATAGACGAGGAGAGACCCATCAGACTCATGGTTAGTTCAGCATCATCATGTGACCAAAGTCCAACTAAGCATAACAAAAACAAAAAAAGTACCCTCTTCTTTAAACCTCAACTACACCCCAAAACAGTTCACATTTATGACAAATAAAAGTAATGTAAATTACTGTCAGTCAGTGTATAAACTGTATGTATTAATCCAACTTCTCCTGCAGTTAGGAACGTGTCCCACTAAAGAGGATAAGGAGGCGTTCGCCATCGTCTCCGTTCCTGTGATGGAGATCAGAGATCTGGACTTTGCTAACGATGCCAGCGCCATGCTGAGCACTGTGGTGGACCAGTTCAGCCAGGGCTTCATCAGCCCAAATGACCGCCGGTACGTGTGTCAGATAATAATAACGTTGTGTTATTCAGATCATTTACTTACCTAAAGGTACTAATTACACATTGTGAACATGCTCCACTACAAGGAAAAGTCCTGCATTCAAACTCTTGACACTAAAATCTTGACATAATTTATTATTCATATTCTAAAGCTCCTTTTGAGTTTAGATTCTCTAGTTTAGGGTGAGGCAGCATGTTGTGTGACGATTTAAAAACCTATTTGAAAGTCAGTTTGGTATCTATGTTTTGTTTTAGTTTTTTACCCAAAACTTAATTTATTAATTTTTTAAACAAAGAAATAATACCTAACAAGTGTCCTGTCAAACTTCAGTTCAGATTTTTAAATAGGTATAAAATAGAACAGAGGAAGGAAAGATAATGGGAGAAAGAAACAAAAACTAAATGTATGTCTTTTAATCTTTTAATCTATATATCTATATAGGGACAAACACATACAAACAGAGGGGTATTGCACAAAACCAAGATAAGGGATTAAGCCGGGATATGTTGGTTATCCTGGCTGAATTTAGCCTCAAGTCGGTTGCATGAAAGCAGGTCAAACTTATCCCGGCCAAGTTACTATGGTGATTTATTCTCTGCAGCTAGCCTGCTCCAGACCAGGCTAACAGCCAGGCTAACATTAATCCTTGTGATTCACCTGTATTTCCACCGTCAATCCTGTGAGGAATTAATGTGTTTTAGCATGTCCATGGTCTTTCTAAGTATGTTGCATCATTTTAATTATCCTGCATTGAAATATTACATATATATTGTCATTTCTCATTTCATTTAAATCTGTTGGCTGTTTGTTATTGCAACAGTCTTTTTATATTGATTCAAGTGGTAGTATTATTACTCAGGCCAAGTGTTATATTGCTATGCTATGCCATCAGAGGTTTCATAAATATGTGTTTTATTGCAGTAATTGAGATTACAAAACACAGCTGATGAAGTTGCTAAGGTATTTTCAATAAAATCTGTGACAAGGGCAATATAGTATAGTATATATATACATATATATATGTATATATATTATATATATTAGGAAGCCCTAATCCTCAGATGAGCATTAAGGCATGAAAGAGTCTTCTGGGACAGGTCAGACCCATTGGCCGTTGGAGATGACTATCTCATTGAGAGATACAGATTCTCAGGTGATGGACTAAGATATTTATGTAGGCTGCTGGGTCCAAAAATACAGCACCAGACGGCAGGAAGCCATGCTCGCACTGTACCACAGATGGTCTGTGTTACATTGAAATATTTTGCAAGTAAGAGCTTCCTTTATTCTGTTGGGGATGCAGAGAACCTCAATAAAGGAACCATTGGCAGCACATATCCTGGCTTGGTGGGCCGCCCCCTGTGCCAGTTCTATGGGCTTTTTTTTAAACTGCTACAATCATACAGACATTCAACATGTCAGCAGACACCTAATCTATTCACCTCATTTGTTCACTGTAATCTACTTTAAAGTCACTTACCAGCCTGCCAAATGTTCTTGTATTTAACTTTTTAAACATTTTTAATGTAACTTGCTGCCAGGTCTTTTTATGGCCAGACAATGTTTGTTCTTTATGAATTCTTTGCACTTAATCATACTCTACATTTAAGTAACATGCACCTCTACTTGCCACATTTAAAGCAAAGTGTACAACAGTTGATTAGTGGACTTAAAGTAACTCCTTTAGTCCTTTAATTGTAGCCTAATGATGACAGTTCCAGTGGAGCACTGTTTATTAATTGTACCGTTTTGGACTACTTAAGCATTTAAGCCGGTCCGCTATTGTCTGCCAGGCTTTCTCTCTTTCTTTAGTTATGGCATTGGTATTGCCTTTTTTTCTTATATCTTTCACCTCTTCATAGAACTCCATCAGGAGCTGTTTTTCAGCGGCCGTGAAATATGAAGCGCGACTCTTATCCATGTTCCCATCGGTGATTCTGTGAGCGATCGCGAGGTCTATTTCAGAATGCTGTGAACCCGCACTTATCCCGACTATCTACACCTGGCTTAACATAGCCGCGCCTTTTCATCCTGGCTCGGCAAACGTGCAACCAATTAAGGGATGCGCTGAGCAGGCTAGGTCAAGCCGCGCTTGCTCAATTATCCTTGATTTCTTTATTCTACTTTTGTGCAATACCCCTCAGGTAGTAGTGTACACAACAATAGAAATAAATAAATAATTCATATAAGTTAATAAAAATATGTAAGTTAAATAAAAGATATAAAACAGAATATAGCCTAAAAGCCTTTCAGTCTGGGATGGTAGGACATTTTTCAGTATATACGGAAAATATGGACAGGTGAAGCAGGTGGTTTCCACATGATCATAATCAGCCGTCTAATGTTTATTCCAAATAACGAATCAATACCGGCACTGGTAGATTAAGGAAATTATGGTAACTATTTTGGACAAAAATGGGATTTTGTAAATACCTGAAAAAATTATGGATTTACCACTAAATGTGCCTCGAAAGAGAGGATCTGTAGTGCAAAATATATGCTGCATTGTTTCCAAATTTCCAAAATAGATTTGACCTAAGTGTTACATTTTTGAGGAGGGAGAGATTCACGGGAATATGAGCAAGAGCCAACAGGAAGAGTTAATATTCACTGTGTTTTATTGGTCAGATTTGCCATTAAGCTGCTGGAGGACGTGGTTTTCTTCGTGGCTGACGTCATCAACAGCGGTCAGCCGGTCTTGGAAGTAGCCATGACCAAAGCCAACCGAGAGAGACAGAAGCTAATGAGAGAACAGAACATCCTTAAACAGGTATGACTGAAAAATAACTCATGAAGCAGAAGCACGAAATGTTCAGTGACCACCAACTAACTGATGCCTTGTGTAATTGCCTGTTCAGATCTTTGGCATCCTGAAGGCTCCCTTTAAGGACCGGGCTGGAGGGGAGGGTCCTCTGCTGCGTCTGGAGGAGCTGGCAGACCAGAAGAACTCTCCCTACCAGTACATGTTCAGACTCTGTTACAGAGTCCTCCGACACTCCCAGGAGGACTACCGTAAGAACCAGGTGAGGAGGAAGATGATGATGAAATGGATGATGTCAACGACCTGCCAACTAAAACCCGGTTTTCAGTTAGCTCGGTCTTTCTCGTATCAAAGGGGCGTACTCCAGGGTTCTATACGAGGACCATTTCTCTTTTCTGTATGTAAACTTTGTGAAAACTTATCCAATGAATTTAATTACATTTTTTGCTGATGATACTGTTACCTATTGCTCTTGTAAGTAGGCAAAGTCCAAAAACACTGGATCCTGCATTTCCCATAATACTACTCAATAGCTTCTTTCATTAAACCTTCGTCCCATGCCTCCTAAATACCCCTTTCCTTCAAACCCCACACTACAAACCCCAGTTTGTAACGTGTACTTTCTCAAGTCTTAAGTCAAAGCCAAGATAATGCTGATGGTTATTTTTATTTATTCCTTGTATGTGACAGTTATATTTGCCTGTTTATATTCTCTAGATTGTGATTGTTGTTGCGAGTCTTATGCTGTCGTATTGACAGAGGAATGATTGATAAAACTATCTTGCTTGCTGGATAGTTAGTCTAGAGCTTTTCAATTTGATCAAATACCATTCCATGACAACTTAGCAAACTCTATCTCTAGCGGAAAGCAAATACTACTACTACTTTTAATAATAATAATAATAATAATAATAATGATAATCAACAATTAAAGCAATAGTCAATTAAAGTAAACAGCAAGAATACAATATGACAAAAGCAGATACTCATCAACAATAGTGTACAATAGTAATGTAACAACCAAAACACAATTAGGACAAATAAAACCAATACGAATTGCAGACAGCAGACATATAAAACTGCTAACCTATACAAGTGGGTTGTAGATAGAAGTTGAAAGGTCCAAAACGGCTACTAAATGGACCTTGAGGTGAGATGTCAACTGTTGTTTTCAAGGTCAAGAATCAACTCTGAAGTTTGGTGATGATGTTGAAGATGATGGTAGAGATGCTAAGAATGATGATGGTGATGATGATTTACTCATTCTCTGTGGCTCTCCATCTTTCTCACCTTCCTCTCGCCTCCAGGAGCACATAGCGAAGCAGTTCGGTGTGATGCAGAGTCAGATCGGTTATGACATCCTGGCCGAGGACACAATCACTGCCCTGCTTCACAACAACCGCAAACTGCTAGAGAAACACATCACCAAAACCGAGGTGGAGACCTTTGTTAGCCTGGTCCGCAAGAACCGAGAGCCCAGGTAGACATGGAGGGGTGGGGGGCCAGAGGGTTGGTCAGTATGTTGTTGTTGTTGTTGGTTTATTTATTCTTAGATTGTGTGTTTGTGCAGGTTTCTGGACTACCTATCAGACCTGTGTGTGTCAAACAACGTGGCCATCCCCGTCACTCAGGAGCTCATTTGTAAATGTGTGCTGGACCCCAAAAACCAGGACATCCTCATCAAGACAGAGTGAGGAGGGAGGGATTGAGGGAATCATGACCTTTGACCTTTTGCCTTGAACTGAATTTTTTAAATTTTAATTTTAATTTTAATTTTAATTTTAAAGTACTGTTTCCTGCTACAAAGTGTCTAGTGGAGCTATGGCATTGCATTTCATACCACAATTAGTGTATAATCCTTGAAATTATGCTAACATGTTATAATTTCACAATTTCTGTTTCGCTCCATCCAGACGTCGTGTCCCCAAAGAGGCGTCCCCTGGTGGTGTTCAGGGAGAATACATGGGGATGGATGACTTTGGAGATGATGACGAGGTAGATGCATCTCTGTTTATGTACTATTTTCTTATTTGGTTTATATATTTTTTAATCACTTTCTTTACCTCCAGTTGTGTGTGTTTGTTGCTGTGCTGTACAAGAACAAATAGCCAAGTGGAGAAAATTATTCATAACAATAATTATCTCATGACTTTTCAAACAGAGCAGGTCTAGACTATACGCACTTGGCGAAAGCAGAGAAAAACATCCTTTTAAGAGGCAGAAACCTCAAGCAGACCCTGGCTCGAGGTGGGTGGCCGTCTGCCTTGACCAATTCTTGTCTCTTCCTGTAGGTGTGGCTTGTGTGGACAGACAAGACCAACGAGAGACAAGAGAAGGGCATCAGACAGCTGGCTCAGGAGGCAAGACAAGGGAATGCTCACGATGAAAATGTCCTCACCTACTACAGGTACGCACATCATCATCCACAAAAAAATTTCATCAAAAATCCCACCATTAAGTTTCAGTGTATTGTAAATTGAGATTTAAGAATGCCAAAGGAAGAAAGTTAAGCTCATGGAGCCTGTCTGTCTCTGTTGACACCCTCAGATACCAGCTGAAGCTCTTTGCCCGAATGTGTCTGGACCGTCAGTATCTGGCCATAGATGAGATCTCCAAGCAGCTGGACGTGGAGCTCATCTTCCTTTGCATGATGGACGAGACGCTGCCATTTGACCTCCGGGCCTCCTTCTGTCGCCTCATGCTCCATGCCCACGTTGACCGGGACCCGCAGGAGTTGGTGACTCCTGTAAAGTTTGCCCGCCTTTGGACCGAGATCCCCACTTCCATCACTATCAAAGAGTTGGTAGATTTTAATACTGCAGCAATGTGTTATGGAAATTATGGAAATTGTGTTTTAAACTGTGTTTTATCTCCTGCCTCGCTTAGTTTTCGTCACATGGAAACTGGAGGTCTAAATTGCAATCAGTCTTAAATTTAACTTTACAATGACAACATTAAAGGTTTGTCGGTCAGTAAAGCATCAGACTTTTAATCTGAGGGTCCAGGGTTCAAGTCCCTGTTCAGGCGAGTAGTTTGTTGTATAATATGGTTGTGAAGTGTCCTGTTGCACTTGCAGTTATCAATGTTCATGGTGACTTGCATGTATGTGGAGCTGACTGGCCAGATTATCTATGTTACCCTCAGAAGTCTTCGAGGCTACATTTCCACGTAGACACATATTTGCGTTGTTGATGACCAAATCGCAGACCACTAATATGATTGAGATGTGTCTTTATCTTTCCCCATTGCATTGGGATTGTGAAAATAAAAGATTGCGAGCGGTCTGGAATAGTCTTCGCCCCAAACCGACCTTCTGGACGTTGCTCATTGTCTGCTTAAGGACCCCTGAACCTAGTTCATGGTGGATTAGTCTAGATATTGGGATTTGTAGGTATGCCTGTCAATTAGAGCATCAGACTCGAGTATTTTGTTGTCTAATGTGGTTGTGAACTGTCTCTAGATCTCACTATCGCCATCTTTCAAGGACGTCTGCTACAAGTGGGCTTGGGGACATGAGCAAGATTGTTGAGTTGGACAGGGCTCAGCACTTGCACACTTCCCAGGACCATGTATAAACGGACTCCCTGGAAGTTTGCGGAAGTCTACTCTCACCTAGTTGTTGCACCTTTTTCAAGGCGTTTTAGTATAGAAATGGAGATTTGTAGTTAAGCGTGTCAACTCCTCCAGAGGGCGCTGTTCGTGAAGCCTGGATAGCTCAGTCGGTAGAGCATCAGACTTTTAATCTGAGGGTCCAGGGTTCAAGTCCCTGTTCAGGCGAGTAGTTTGTTGTATAATATGGTTGTGAAGTGTCCTGTTGCACTTGCAGTCATCAATGTTCATGGTGACTTGCATGTATGTGGAGCTGACTGGCCAGATTATCTATGTTACCCTCAGAAGTCTTCGAGGCTACATTTCCACGTAGACACATATTTGCGTTGTTGATGACCAAATCGCAGACCACTAATATGATTGAGATGTGTCTTTATCTTTCCCCATTGCATTGGGATTGTGAAAATAAAAGATTGCGAGCGGTCTGGAATAGTCTTCGCCCCAAACCGACCTTCTGGACGTTGCTCATTGTCTGCTTAAGGACCCCTGAACCTAGTTCATGGTGGATTAGTCTAGATATTGGGATTTGTAGGTATGCCTGTCAATTAGAGCATCAGACTCGAGTATTTTGTTGTCTAATGTGGTTGTGAACTGTCTCTAGAACTCACTATCGCCATCTTTCAAGGACGTCTGCTACAAGTGGGCTTGGGGACATGAGCAAGATTGTTGAGTTGGACAGGGCTCAGCACTTGCACACTTCCCAGGACCATGTATAAACGGACTCCCTGGAAGTTTGCGGAAGTCTACTCTCACCTAGTTGTTGCACCTTTTTCAAGGCGTTTTAGTATAGAAATGGAGATTTGTAGTTAAGCGTGTCAACTCCTCCAGAGGGCGCTGTTCGTGAAGCCTGGATAGCTCAGTCGGTAGAGCATCAGACTTTTAATCTGAGGGTCCAGGGTTCAAGTCCCTGTTCAGGCGAGTAGTTTGTTGTATAATATGGTTGTGAAGTGTCCTGTTGCACTTGCAGTCATCAATGTTCATGGTGACTTGCATGTATGTGGAGCTGACTGGCCAGATTATCTATGTTACCCTCAGAAGTCTTCGAGGCTACATTTCCACGTAGACACATATTTGCGTTGTTGATGACCAAATCGCAGACCACTAATATGATTGAGATGTGTCTTTATCTTTCCCCATTGCATTGGGATTGTGAAAATAAAAGATTGCGAGCGGCCTGGAATAGTCTTCGCCCCAAACCGACCTTCTGGACGTTGCTCATTGTCTGCTTAAGGACCCCTGAACCTAGTTCATGGTGGATTAGTCTAGATATTGGGATTTGTAGGTATGCCTGTCAATTAGAGCATCAGACTCGAGTATTTTGTTGTCTAATGTGGTTGTGAACTGTCTCTAGAACTCACTATCGCCATCTTTCAAGGACGTCTGCTACAAGTGGGCTTGGGGACATGAGCAAGATTGTTGAGTTGGACAGGGCTCAGCACTTGCACACTTCCCAGGACCATGTATAAACGGACTCCCTGGAAGTTTGCGGAAGTCTACTCTCACCTAGTTGTTGCACCTTTTTCAAGGCGTTTTAGTATAGAAATGGAGATTTGTAGTTAAGCGTGTCAACTCCTCCAGAGGGCACTGTTCGTGAAGCCTGGATAGCTCAGTCGGTAGAGCATCAGACTTTTAATCTGAGGGTCCAGGGTTCAAGTCCCTGTTCAGGCGAGTAGTTTGTTGTATAATATGGTTGTGAAGTGTCCTGTTGCACTTGCAGTCATCAATGTTCATGGTGACTTGCATGTATGTGGAGCTGACTGGCCAGATTATCTATGTTACCCTCAGAAGTCTTCGAGGCTACATTTCCACGTAGACACATATTTGCGTTGTTGATGACCAAATCGCAGACCACTAATATGATTGAGATGTGTCTTTATCTTTCCCCATTGCATTGGGATTGTGAAAATAAAAGATTGCGAGCGGTCTGGAATAGTCTTCGCCCCAAACCGACCTTCTGGACGTTGCTCATTGTCTGCTTAAGGACCCCTGAACCTAGTTCATGGTGGATTAGTCTAGATATTGGGATTTGTAGGTATGCCTGTCAATTAGAGCATCAGACTCGAGTATTTTGTTGTCTAATGTGGTTGTGAACTGTCTCTAGAACTCACTATCGCCATCTTTCAAGGACGTCTGCTACAAGTGGGCTTGGGGACATGAGCAAGATTGTTGAGTTGGACAGGGCTCAGCACTTGCACACTTCCCAGGACCATGTATAAACGGACTCCCTGGAAGTTTGCGGAAGTCTACTCTCACCTAGTTGTTGCACCTTTTTCAAGGCGTTTTAGTATAGAAATGGAGATTTGTAGTTAAGCGTGTCAACTCCTCCAGAGGGCGCTGTTCGTGAAGCCTGGATAGCTCAGTCGGTAGAGCATCAGACTTTTAATCTGAGGGTCCAGGGTTCAAGTCCCTGTTCAGGCGAGTAGTTTGTTGTATAATATGGTTGTGAAGTGTCCTGTTGCACTTGCAGTCATCAATGTTCATGGTGACTTGCATGTATGTGGAGCTGACTGGCCAGATTATCTATGTTACCCTCAGAAGTCTTCGAGGCTACATTTCCACGTAGACACATATTTGCGTTGTTGATGACCAAATCGCAGACCACTAATATGATTGAGATGTGTCTTTATCTTTCCCCATTGCATTGGGATTGTGAAAATAAAAGATTGCGAGCGGTCTGGAATAGTCTTCGCCCCAAACCGACCTTCTGGACGTTGCTCATTGTCTGCTTAAGGACCCCTGAACCTAGTTCATGGAGGATTAGTCTAGATATTGGGATTTGTAGGTATGCCTGTCAATTAGAGCATCAGACTCGAGTATTTTGTTGTCTAATGTGGTTGTGAACTGTCTCTAGAACTCACTATCGCCATCTTTCAAGGACGTCTGCTACAAGTGGGCTTGGGGACATGAGCAAGATTGTTGAGTTGGACAGGGCTCAGCACTTGCACACTTCCCAGGACCATGTATAAACGGACTCCCTGGAAGTTTGCGGAAGTCTACTCTCACCTAGTTGTTGCACCTTTTTCAAGGCGTTTTAGTATAGAAATGGAGATTTGTAGTTAAGCGTGTCAACTCCTCCAGAGGGCGCTGTTCGTGAAGCCTGGATAGCTCAGTCGGTAGAGCATCAGACTTTTAATCTGAGGGTCCAGGGTTCAAGTCCCTGTTCAGGCGAGTAGTTTGTTGTATAATATGGTTGTGAAGTGTCCTGTTGCACTTGCAGTCATCAATGTTCATGGTGACTTGCATGTATGTGGAGCTGACTGGCCAGATTATCTATGTTACCCTCAGAAGTCTTCGAGGCTACATTTCCACGTAGACACATATTTGCGTTGTTGATGACCAAATCGCAGACCACTAATATGATTGAGATGTGTCTTTATCTTTCCCCATTGCATTGGGATTGTGAAAATAAAAGATTGCGAGCGGTCTGGAATAGTCTTCGCCCCAAACCGACCTTCTGGACGTTGCTCATTGTCTGCTTAAGGACCCCTGAACCTAGTTCATGGTGGATTAGTCTAGATATTGGGATTTGTAGGTATGCCTGTCAATTAGAGCATCAGACTTGAGTATTTTGTTGTCTAATGTGGTTGTGAACTGTCTCTAGAACTCACTATCGCCATCTTTCAAGGACTTGCTACAAGTGGGCTTGGGGACATGAGCAAGATTGTTGAGTTGGACAGGGCTCAGCACTTGCACACTTCCCAGGACCATGTATAAACGGACTCCCTGGAAGTTTGCGGAAGTCTACTCTCACCTAGTTGTTGCACCTTTTTCAAGGCGTTTTAGTATAGAAATGGAGATTTGTAGTTAAGCGTGTCAACTCCTCCAGAGGGCAGTGTTCGTGAAGCCTGGATAGCTCAGTCGGTAGAGCATCAGACTTTTAATCTGAGGGTCCAGGGTTCAAGTCCCTGTTCAGGCGAGTAGTTTGTTGTATAATATGGTTGTGAAGTGTCCTGTTGCACTTGCAGTCATCAATGTTCATGGTGGCTTGCATGTGTGTGGAGCTGACTGGCCAGATTATCTATGTTACCCTCAGAAGTCTTCGAGGCTACATTTCCACGTAGACACATATTTGCGTTGTTGATGACCAAATCGCAGACCACTAATATGATTGAGATGTGTCTTTATCTTTCCCCATTGCATTGGGATTGTGAAAATAAAAGATTGCGAGCGGTCTGGAATAGTCTTCGCCC